TAAAAGAGTTTAAATATATATAAAATTTGATTTTAAAATCTTTTGCTTAGAAGTCAAAGCTTGGTTTTTATAATAAATCTTGAATTATTTGAGGTTTTTGTCTTTTTTTCTTTTTTTACTTTGTTTTGGTTACACAAAATCCAGTGATCTAATTGGTTTTTTATATAACCAGGTGATATTTCCTATAGTAAAAATTAGCAATAGTCTATTTTTATATATACAGTACCAGATAGCAAAAACTATCTACTTTTTTATATATAAATATAAAAATGCTTATAACTTTTGAATTAATAAATTTAGAAAATCTGTCTTACAGATTTGTTGCTTTTAGTCTAAGCTACAATTCTGTAAAACTGATTTTATTTTTATTATAAATTTAAAAGTTTTTAGAGTTTAAAATTTATAAATTTACATCTAAAAACTAAAATTTGGCACTTATTATATAAAAAAATCATTTTTATATTTTTTAACCAATCAAATTTTTGTTACATAAAAATTAGCCAATCAGAATTATTATAAATTCTCAAATTTGGCACTTATTTTTAAAAAAATAGATAGTTTTTGCTGTCCAGTACTGTATAGTTTGAAAAATAATCTGCATTTAGAAAATATAGAACATGCATTTATTTTATAAGTTCTGACTTGAGACTAGGCTATTTTCATGCATATAAAGAGAACATGCACTTAGCGAGAGTCAACTGTAGTTATAATTAAATTATAATCACTATCACATTTTTTTAAAATTTGTTAGATAATTTTAATAATAAAATAACCTCTTTACAATTATATTTATAACATAAAACAAAAAAAATGACCCACCCACCCAGACTTTTATTAAAATTTTTTAACTTATAAAGCTATAACTTGGAAATATATAATAGAATCTCTTTTATAATATTTGGCATTTGGTGCTACTAATTTATTTTGCTAACATTCTTGCCTATGAAGTAGGCAAAAGTGTCAGCAAAATAAATTAGTAATATTTAGCTTAGATTGCCAAAAAAAAATTTTTTTTAATAAGAAGAAACAGAGAAAGAGAGGGAGTAGAAGTGGTATGAGAGTAGTATGAGGTGGGAGAGCGAGAGGAAGTGAAAGTGGGAAGGTGAGGAGAAAAAGTAAAAAAGAAAAGCAAAGAAAGAAAAAGTATAATAAAGAATTTTAAACTCAGATTATGTGCTAATGAAGTCATGTGACTTCAGATTTTGTATTCCTGCAAAATTGAAAGAGTTTCAAACTCTGCCAAAACGGGGTTTGAAACTCCGATCAAGCAATATAGTTATGTGATTTATGGAAATTCAAATTCTTACAAAATGGTCAGTAACCTGAAATTGGGGTCATGTGATTATGTACATATATACGAATTTAAAAAAATAAATAATTAATTAATTAATTAAAAATAAATAAAAATAGAAATTTATTAATAAAATCAGTATAATATTATGAATCAGTATAATATAACATATTAGTATAATGTACTGAAATTGGCATAATGTACTGAAATTTATGTAACCTATAGATACATTTTGTGTTAAACCTTTGTTAAAAATATTTTTTAACTCTTTTTTTTATTAAAAAAAATAAAAAAAATTAATTTTTGTTAATTTTTTGTTAAATTATTTAAATTAATAAATTATAAGTTTTATAAACGTAATAAATGAACTAAATAATAGTAAGTTTAATAGAAATTTTTTTAATAAAATATTATAAATTAATATTAAATTTACAAATTTATTAAAATATGTAAAATTTAAAAAGAAGATAAAATTTTATAATTAAAGCAAATTTATATTAGAACATTTTTAATCTGTGCCACTGGTTAGTAATAACCAGATGATTATTAATAATTACTGGTTATTATTAACCAGATAATTATTAATAATAATTATCTGGTTAATAATAACCAGTGATTATTAATAATCACTGGTTATTACTAACCAGTATATAATAAAATATATTAAAAATATATAATCACGTTAGTACTATAACTGTATAATACTATATACTATATATATTTATAAATACTTTTATTAATGCTATTAACTTTAAATATATTACTATATAACAACCATATATAAACTTTTTGTATGAAAAAACTTAGCTATTATACTATATTAATATAAATAGTACTATTAATAAACTTATTTACTATGCTTTAGCAAGTTATATGAGCGAATATTATATCCTTTTTCATAGCAATTAGAACAAGTGTATACATGTTTAGAAGTTTCTTTATTATTTTGCTAATTGTAATTCTCTTCAATAGCTTTTAAAGGTCTTCGATCTTCTAATTCTAATACACTTTTTTGTCTTCCGCTTGGTCGACCTTTGCTTGCTGTAACTTTTGGATTAGTAACCTGAATAATATATTCATCTTGATTTGTGTTTTCAACTTGAATAATATTTTCATCTTGACTTGTGTTTTCAATTTGAATAGTATTTTCATCTTGAATAACACTTTCTTCGTCAATAGCATTTTCTTGATTACTATTATTATGTTGATCTGATATAGTACTAATATTTGGTTCAGAAGTTGTAGAGACAAGTTTTTGAATTTCTCTTTTTTGCTGAATAAATTGATAGCACCAATTATTTACTTCTTCATTAGTTTCTGTTTCCATTGCTAATGTTAAAACTGTATGTAATAATCCATAGCTTTTACCATAACACATTTGATCCTAAAGAAATTTTTTATTTGGCTTTTTAGATCCAGATGCTTTGCGAATAAGAGTTAGTTGTTCAAACTGATTAGGCAAAGTCAATTGAGTTGCTTGATTTACTTAAGTAGGTTTATTAGAAATATTATACTGGGGTTAAATTGCTAAAAGATTTTTAAATATATCTTCTGAGTCACTAAGATATATATCTTTATACCATCACTGCATTATAAAAGAAATATGAAAGACTACTGTATTTGACTCTAAAAGAACAGCAAAATAATGTCGGCATATAATTCCACGACTAATAGGCCAAGTGCATGTACATAAATATGAATCATCCTGAAATAAAATGATATAATGATTATTTGTAGTGCTTATTAAGCTAACAATACGCCAAGCTTCTTTGATATTACTACGTGAAATATTATTTAAAAGTGAAGTAATATTTGTTTTGTTGCAAATCATAACTATCTTCAATGCATACATTTACAAATTCAGACTCATCATTATAATGTTCTTGTAAAATATCAATTAAATAACATCGATACCAAAGTGCTTGTTGAATTTGTAACTTTATTTCAGCTACTATATGAGGTGTAAGATATTTCTCACATAATTCAATAATTTCAGGAAACAATGTTAGACTTATTGATTGCGATCCACTATTATGACTAAAAGTTATAGTATTTTGAGAATGACTATATTTGTTTTCTTTGTCAAGATGCTCCTGAATTGTATTATACAATTTAATTAATGATAATAACTGGTTACTGTAACACATCTTTTAATAAGATTGTTATAGCATTCTACATGTTGTGTACTTTGAATACCAGCATTAAAAACTTGGGTTGTAAAGCAACATGCTCAGCTTTCCTTTGCTTGATAAAGTTTTTTTAAATAATCTCCAATAGCTGGATAGGTTTCAATTAATAATTGATATCGGCTTTCAAATATAGAAACTCTTAGTGCATTTCATGCAGCATAAAAGCTATTCATAAACTGATCATAATGTTCACCAAGTTTTGATCGAGCTTTTTTTTTTATATTATTACCAATGTGAAATACACAAAGGTGGTGGTGAGCTGATGAAAAAGTTCTGGAAATTGCAGCGGCTATTGCAAGATTAGAGTCGGAAAAAATAACACCAGGTTCATATGTAGGATTTCCTTTTTGAAGACATATGAAAAGCCAAATAAAAGAGTCCATAGATTCATCTGGCAATAGTGCCTGAGCAACCAATCTGCTCCTAGTATTATTATCAACTATGATCACTAAAGCTAGTGGTTGCCAATATCGATTAGTCTTACAAGTCATATCTAGTAAACACACATCCCTGAATCTTGATAATAATTGTACTTGCTCATCAGATTGCCAAAAAATACCTTTAAGCTTATTATCTATTACTCCAATTACCAGTTCAACCACGCAACCGGGATCTATTTTTTTTTGCTACAAGAGATAACTTAATAAATCAGCAGCATCATTCTTAAGCCCTTGACATGTACCTTTTAATTTGCTTATTATATTATAAACATTTCGTGATTTAATAGGGTGATCAGAATATTTACTTTCAAGTAAGTTAATTATCTTACTATGTTGAATATGACATTGATGATACAATTCAACTTTGTTAAGCATTTCATCAGTTAACTGACAATATTTTGGTGCATTACTTTTAATATTATTATCCATTGGATAGTTGTGAGCTGAATTATCATTTATTAAAGAACAACGAACTCTTGTGGCTTGATTGCCAATTGAAAAATTACAATGCCATTTACAGTTTGTAAAATTTACATCACAATTATACTGATTATCAGGATTAATTATCTTTTTAGATTTCTATTGTTCAGATAGATAACACACCCAAGTGGCGTTCCATACTGTTCCGTTATCACGCGTACGAGTATGTGATTTTCTAACAGCAAAGCCATGCTCTATTGCATATCAATCAAGTTTTTTTTCAGCTTCCTCAAAGGTACCAAAAGTATCATCAACACATATATTAAATAAATACTTATGCTGACTATTAATATTATTATCATCATGAGTACGTAATAGGCGCCTAGTTAGGAAGGTTGGTGCTTGAGGTACATCCGTAGAATGGCAGCACCCCAAAAGATGGCATGAGATACGAATACGAAAAGGCAGGCCAATATGTACTAATTAGAAAGAAGTTATAGAAACACACAGGTAAATATATGTGTAGGACATGTACCACTCTGTTAGGTTTACCTCGAGGATAGATTAGCCAGAAATAGTTGGTAAGTCCTAAGGCAGTCAGTAATCCTTTGCCAAGGTGATACAAAATCCATATATAAATGGTGAGTAAACCTGGGGTTAGGTGGTAGTTATAACCAGATGGTTTAAATGGGCACTCCCCTAGTTGGGGTGCAGGTACGGCAGATAGTGTAGAACCTTCGGGCGGACTACTTAAATTAGGCACTCAAAAGGTGCACGTGTGGCTTGATGTACCATTGTTGTAATTGCGTATAAAACACTGTTTCAAATCCTAATAAAAGCTTTCAGCCAAAGAGGTCTCCTTAACTTAAAAAAAATATATATATATATTATTATCATCGTTTTAACTTTGACTACTTGAATCCGATAACTCTAACGAATTCAAATATTCAATTTGAAGCTGTGAGTAATAGTCTTCTTGTTGATTAAAGGTAGGTTCAGAACTTGATATAGTTTGTAAAGAGTCTTGGCCATGTGAAAAAGTATATTCAGGGGAATGCAAGCTATGGTAATCCGAATACTCCTATAATAAAATTATAAATGTCAATTGATGTATTTCCTAAATATTGTATATTGCAACCTCTTCAAGGTGCTAGTCACAAGTAACAAAAACTGGAATTAGTTTTTGTTACTTGCGACTAGCACCTTGAAAAGACTACATAGCTAATTTTAATTCAATGCTTTGTTTCTTCTTCCGACTAACCTGAGATGGCTCTAAAGCAATGTTTCCATGAAAGTCAAAAGAATCAAACATACTAAATGTATCATTAGCTTGAGGGTCTAAAATTGTATTGAATTAGTTTAAACAATATTCAATATCTTTGTTATTAAACTTTCTTTGTATAACCATTAACTAATCTGAGATGGTAGCATTTTTTCTCTCTCAGAACCGAGCTTATTTGTTCCAATACTTTCAGATAAATCAATATTGGGTAGTTTATTATATTGGCTAAGAAGATGGTGGGCCTTAAATAATATTAGATTAGTATATAGTATATAATACATGCTTTTTTTTTGTATTGTCTAAAATTCAATTACCTGAGACAGGTTTAAATTAAGGTTTAAAGAAGCTAAGACAGTATTTTTATAAAGTTTCTCCGAACCAAGTTCATTTGCTTCAGCACTTCTAGGTAAACTTACATTATTTTCAAAAGAATAGCGGGTTTGAAATAGTATTAGATTAGTATATAACTAATACAATATGTTAATATGTTGAATTAGCTTTGATTAAACTTTCAGCTAACCTGAAATGGTCTTAAAATGGTATGTCTAGATATATCATAGTAGCTACCAAAGGACCGACGTGCCTATAGTATAAAACCTTATTAAAAAGCATTTAACAACAAACCCCAGCACTTTCAAGTAAGCTTACATTATTTTCAGAGGAATTGCGGGCCTTAAGTAGTGTTAGATTAGTGCACAGCTAATACATACATTGGCACGTTGAAGCAACTTCAATTAACCTTATAACTAACCTAAGATGATCTTAAAACAGTATTTTCAGAAGAACTATAATGACCACCAAATGACCGATGTATCTTTGAATAACATCAAATTAGTACAAACTTCAACTAAAAACTTTTACACGACGAAATTCTATACCTCTCTTTATTAAAAGCCATAACAACAGATCAAAAAAATTGTGCTACTATAAACGTTTTATAGTATGAGGATCAAACGTGACTAATATCATGAGGATCAAACGTGACTAATATATTAAGAATCAAACGTGACTAATATTATGTATTGTTTATAGTTAAGAAAATTTGGTAAAACTTTTTTTAATTACTGGTTAAAATTAACCATTAATTATAATGGCTAAGTTTAACCAGTGGTTTATATTATAATTATTCTTATATTATTTATTTAATAAATATTTTGATTTATTTATAAATTATACAAATAATTAATAATTTTTTTTTTATTAAGATAGAAAATGCCAAAAGCAAAAAAAGAAAAGAAAAAAAAAAAAACAAAAAAAAAAGAAACCTACTCCTAAATATATTTTAGCACAATATCCAGTATCTGAAAATCCTGATACTAAACTTAATAATATAAGATCTAATAAAGACAAGCTAAATATATGTATTACCAAAAAGAACAAAGTATTACAGGATCTTTAACAAGAACAAGGTCTAAAACTTCTAACGTATCTAAAATTTCTAAAACTTCTAAAGCATTATCAGAAACAAAACACAAACAAAAGCTGGTCAGAAAGAAAAACAACAAGAATATAGAGCTTCTATAAGTAAAGAAAAAAAAATAAAAAATTTGGAAAAAAGAAAAAAAGCATTTAAGATGAAAAAGAAGAACAATTTAAACAATTTTATAAAATAGAACTTTATAGTTTAGATAAATACAGTCATATCTATTTATAATCACCTCCTATATAATCACATTATATAAAAACCTCTTTATAATTACACCTGTATCTTCACCCAATTACTATCTTATATATAACAAAAAACCTCTATATAAGCATACCTCTTTACAAGAACATTTTTTTAAAAAAGTTCTTATAGTCCCAAAAGTATGATTATAAAGAGGTATGACTGTATAAAAAGAAGGTAGAGAATAAAGAAAATGATAATGATGATAATAATAGTGGTGGAGATAATAGTAGAGATGATAATAAAGATGGTAAAAATGATGGTGAAGGTGATAATAGAGATGATAATGGAGATGATAATAATGATAATGATAATGATAATAGAGATAATAATAATAAAAAGAACAATGAGAAATATAGATTAAAAAAATAGATATTGAATATGAACATTGTAGGGCTTTAAAATAGGAGGGTGAAAAACTAGAACTTTGCTGTATGAATGGTGAAGTTATATTAGCACAATTTCTTGCACCACTACTAGCAATTTATAAATTGCTTACAGAAAAAGATCCTATATCTAAATTATCTTTTGTTAAAAAAGCAATAGTATATAATCAAGTATTTGCTTTTATATCAATTGGTACAAACTTAAATAAAGATGTTGCCAATAAATTATAGAATTTAGTGTCAGCATTATTATCAAATTAGCTTATATTTGCTAAACCAAAGAGGACCACCAAAATTTTCTCAAATATATTTTCATAATTCTACAAATATTAAAGTACAAATTGATAGAAGATATGAAGTAATAGAAGGAAAAACATGTTAACAGAAATTCAAGAGGAATTAATAGAATTTAATTCTTTTGTTAATATTTATATACAAGCAAGTCTTATTTATATTTTAATACATAATATACATGGCAAGGATATGAAACAATATGGGGCCTCATATTAAAAGAGACCATTTTGATATATATCTTATTTTGAAATAATTGAGTTTAATCATTTGGTTTGATCTGGGATTAATCAAATTTCACGATTTTAATTGATTAAAAATAACAGATAACTATCGGGCAATCTCATGATGTGCTTTGCTTTAAAAATCCTAATGTAATTTTTCTTTTACATTATCTCGATTTTTCATTATGCAAATTGACTTTTATTTATAATTGAAAAATGTTAATCATGTCAAAATTTACATGAATCTAATAAAAACTTATTTTTCAAAAAAATTACAAAATGGTCTCTTTTAATATAGGACACCCTATATAATGTACCAACAACTGATAAAGTAGTAACAATTTGTTTTACTGATACAGAAATGCAAGAAAGGTATATTCATATTTATAAATATAATGAAAAATTTTAAAAAATCTCCGAATTAAATGTGTATATGATTCTTTACAATATTCTTTGCTATTTCCAAGTAAAGAATATGGTTGGCATTCAGGAATATTAAAAAGAAATGAAATACAAATTGTTGAACCAGCTAATAAAGATGATAATGATGATAATGAAAGTGAAATTGATAATTTATATTGAACTAATGAAAAAAAATAGTAGTAAACAAAGAACCTTTAGAAAAGAAAAGCCAAAAAAAACTTTTAAAAAATATTCGTAAAGACCCTGAAAATTCTAAAATTGAAGCTAAAGAAAGTAGAATTTCAAAACAAGTATCTAATATTAACTTTGATAATTTACTAAAAAAAACATCACAAAGTAAAACAGAATTATTAGATTTTTTAGAATCTGCAACTATTAGAAGTTCATCAAGTATAGATATTGATAAAAATATTGATACAGGTGATAAAGAATATTTGAGAAAAGATTATCTATAAAATAAGAAAAAAAAAGTTAAAGAAATTGAAGAAGAAGAAAATAATAATAATAATAATAATAATAATATTGATGATCCTGATGATCCTGCAATAAAGAAAAGAAAGTATATATGCCATATTAAGATGAATTTGATTAAGAAGCAAATACTGAATCTGAAAGTGAATTTGATGATAATAATAGTGATGAGATACTATCAAAGATTCAACAACAACAAAAAAAGAAAAAAAGAACAACAATAACTATTAGAGAGTTTGCAGTATATAGATTTATGATTAGAAACTCAAACAAAAATGATAGCATTCTGCATCTTTCAGGCAGATTGTTTCAACAATATATAGTAAACCAGTATGTGAAGTAAGAAACAAATAATTTGAAATAGTATTATAAAAATCAAAAAAAATTAAGATCTGTAATTTTTATAGGATTACAAGATATGATTTATAATGAAGATGCCAATCTTGAAGAAATTGGCAAAAGAATAATTTTGTCATCAAGCTTTACTAGATCACCAAGATATTTACAACAATTGTATCAAGATTTTATAGTAATTGTTAGAGAATTTAGAAAACCTGATCTGTTTATAATAGTGACATGCAATTCAAAATAGTCTGAATTCTTTCTGAGCTTATACCAAATCAAACTACTTCTGATAGGCTAAATATAGTTGCAAGAGTTTTCAGATTAAAATTAAATGCAATAATTGATAATTTAATTATAAAAAATATATTGGGAAAAGTTATTGCATATATATATAATTGAGTTTCAAAAAGAGAGTTGCCACATGCTCATATACTACTTAGGGGCTTCCAGAAATTACGTAATTTTGGGGTGGGTGGATGGGTCCCCCAAAATATCAGGTTATAATTCTGGTCAAAATTTTATAATTCCGGCCAAAATTATAAAATTACAGTATACTATATAATAATAAAATCTTTAAACTTGAATAACTTTTGATATACTAGGTCTATTTAGATGATTTAACTACCAGAATAATCCTCTCAATGAGAGAAGTTTACTAAGGCAAGAATCATTAAAATCCAATCACAGGATCACAAAATAGATAATATTTAGTATTATTTTATATATATTTAAATTAAATAATATGAAAATTATCTATCTTGTGATTCTGTAAATGGATTTTAATGATTTTGGGCTTGTTGGAATCTTCTCTTTGAGAAGAACATTTTGGTAGTTAAATCATCTAAATAGGCCTAATATATCAAAAGTTATTCAAATTTAAAAATTTTATTATTTATAATTTTATAATTCTGGCCAAAATTATAAAATTATATAATAATAAAATCTTTAAACTTGAATAACTTTTGATCTACTAGGCCTATTTAGATGATTTAACTACCAAAATAATCCTCTCAATCAGAGGGTTTTAACAAGCCCAAAATAATTAAAATCCAATTACAAGATTACAAAATAAATAATATTTTGTATTATTTTATATATACTGTATTTAAATAATACAAAAAATTATCTATCTTGTGATTAAATTTTAATGATTTTAGGCTTGTTAAAATCCTCTCATTGAGAGAATTATTTTGGTAGTTAAATCATCCAAATTGGTTCAATAAATCAAAAATCATATAAATTTAAAAACTTTTTATTAATTAATACTATTTAAAATTTTTATGAAATTTGATTGGCTAATAAAGTATCAGATATAGGTGGGTGGGAATGAAATTTTGAAATTCATTAATAACAAAATATTACGTAATTTCTAGAAGCCCTCTAATATAGCTTTAGCTTTTAAAGCTGCTTTATCCAACTAGCTAATGCTAGCTTTAGCCCTTAAGACTGCTTCGCCCACCCACCCACCTATTGATATTTTAGTTTTCAAGGTGAAATCCAAAAAAACAATTTCAAGTTTTATTCAAAGAGGCACATTGCACGATAAACACCAAATCTGGCTTTGGTATAGTGTTTTGCAATCCATATTCAATTTATTTCTACTTGCCAGCCAAATAGTTCTCGAGCACTAACCGTTGATCAGAGAGCTTAAAGTTTTTTATAACTTTGGGTCTTTTTACTTCTAAATTTGAACTATTTCTTAGTTGAGGTTCACCTAGATCATTCGCAAAATCAATAAGACCCCAAACAAGTTCATTATGGAACTCTTTATATTCTTGCGTCAATTCTAAAATTTTAGAGATTAGGTATGCATTAATAATGGCAGTGTCTAATAGCCAAAAAAAAAAAAGCATCCACTTACGCCACGCAGTTTGCTAAGTGTCATAATAAGATTATAGTTGGTTAGCAGCATTTACACCGTTCATGCTGTGATTGTAATCATCAATCACTTTTGGTATTTTTAATTTTTTTTTGGCTCAGAGCCAAATACTGCTCGAATTTTTGCCACATTGGTACTTGTTTCCTTTGGTCGCCACCTTTCTCCTTCAACTTCCCATTCTTTACCCACAAGTCTATGAATAGTTGATAGTATTATGACTGGCTCATTGTCTTGCTAGAAAATAGCTAATACACTATTTACTTTAACATTGGAACAAATGTTCCAATTTAATTTAGTACTTTTATCCACTTTCAATTCCTTTGGAAATCTAGCTGCCATTTTTCAAACAGTTCTACAAGCTCCAATATTAATTTGCTAAAGGTACTGAAAGAGAGGAACACCAGTAAAATAGTTGTCTATGTATATATTGTATAAATATCATTAGTATAGAAGTTATTTAACAAGGTGAAGAACTTGAGACCCAACTTTACTAAAACTATTCACCTTTCTACATTACTCAGAGTGATATGCGATGTTGGTAGAAAAGTATATATATATCTGGATTCGCACAAAAAAAAAATCTTGAAGCCTTTTCATTCACACTATATGTATACTTTTTCCCGAAAATTGTATTATCATTTCATCCACTGAAACGTTTGATCCCAGTGTGTAGTACCTTTTGAAGTTTCGCAAACATGAGAAAGTAATGGTTCTACTTTATCAAAATAATTTTTTAATATAGATGTAGAGGCAGGAGCGGAGACGTAAAGAAACCTCTTTATTGCTTCAAAGCATTTGAATACTATTTGCTTTGAAATTTGATGAACCGGGAGCCTTGGATCTTCATTTTAATATTGGTTACAGGATGGCAACTTAAAAAGTTCCTGATAAATAGCCAAGGCAACCCAAACAAAAAGTTTGTTGCAGGTTATATCTTCTCACTGTTTACCAGTAACTCTTGCACCTTTTATTAAAGCATATTCATTCATATTAACAACTATCGTATCTATCATAGACATAGGAAAAAAAAGTAAAAAAAAATCGATCAGTTTGGAAACACCAACTTCAAAATGTAGTGGCAATTGAACACTTGCACGACACAAAGAGCTTAAATAAACCAATGGTTCAAGGATAGGTGGTAGTGGTAATCAAAGGGCTTGTTTACATTTTTTGGGGATACTTGTTGTGCCTGCATTCTCACTATTTGAATCCTCCAAGTCATTTAAAAAATGTTGGTGAAATGTTGAAATTAGTATATATTCATCATCATCGTTCATCTCTACATTTTCAAAAAAGATGATAATGAACTTGCAAATGACAAATTTGTAAAAGGTGAAATTTTAGATATAGTGA